TCAAAATATTGAAAAATTGAAAAACCGAAAAACCGAAGAAAAAATGAACAACTGGTACAACAATACATCAAAAATTCAAAAATTAAAAATTGGAAAATTGAAAAATTTAAGAATTAAAAATTCGAAAAATCGAACAATAGAAAAATTGAAAACTCGAAAAATCGAAAAATTGAAAAGTACAATTTAAAAAATCCAAAAATTGTAGAATCGAATAACTGAAAAGTCTAAAATTAAAAAAGCGAAAAACTAAAATATCGAAAAATTGAAAAAATCCAGAAATAGAAAATTACCCAAAATAGAAAACTACCCAAAATTGAAATGTGAAAAATTTAGAAATTAAAAAGTTGAAAAATCGAGAAATCAAAAAACCGAAAAATCGTGGAAAAATAAAAAAATTGAAACATCAAAATCGAAAGATTAAAGATTGAAAAATTGACAAAATTTAAAATTCAAAAAATTGGTTGTCAAAAAATTTAAAAATTGAAAAATTAAAAAAACGAGAAATTGAAAAATCAAAACATCGAAATCTCTAGAAATCCAAAAATCTAAAACTGAAATATTGAAAAACCTAAAAACTAAAAACCGAAAAGAAAGAAAAGTCTACAATTTAAAAAATCGAAAAACTGTAGAATCAAATAATTGAAAAACTGAAAAATCTAAAATTGAAAAAACGAAAAACTAAACTGTCGAAAAATTGTAAAAATCCAGAAATTGAAAATTTCCCAAAATTAAATGTGACAAATTTAGAAATTGAAAACTTGAAAAATTGAGAAATCGAAAAATCGAGAGAAAATTGAAAAATTGACAAATTTAAAATTCAAAAAATCGGTTGTTAAAAATCGAAAAATTGAAAAATTAAAAAAACAGGAAATTGAATAATCGAAACATCGAAATCTCGATAAATCCAGAAATCTACAATTGAAATATTGAAAAACCGAAAAATTGAGAAACAGAAAAACTGAAAAGAAAGGAAAATAAAAATTTAAAAAATCGAAAAATTAATAACTGAAAAATTTTAAATTACAAAAAATGGAAAAAAAGAAAAATCGGGAATTAGAAAAATTGAAAAATCGAAGAATTTCAAATTCAAAAGAGCGAAGAACTGAAATATCGAAGAATTGAATAAGTCTAGAAATTGAAAATTACCCAAAATTGAAATGTACAGAATTCAGAAACTGAAAACTTGAAAATCGAGAAATAAAGAAACTGAGAGAAATCGAGGAGAAATTGACAAATTTAAACAATAAAACATCAAAATCGTAGAATAAAAATTGAAAAATTTAAAAATTTTAAATTCAAAAGATCGAAAAATTGAAGAATTAAAAAATCGGGAAATCGAAAAATCGAAATATCGAAAAATCAATAAATTCAGAACTCTAAAATTGAAATATCGAACAAGCGAAAAACTGAAAAACTGAAAAATTGGAAACCGAAAGACTGAAAAGAAAGAACAAAAATTTTAAAAATTGAAAAACTGAAAAATTTAAAATTCAAAAAATCGAAAAATTGTAGAATCGAAAAATCGAAGAATCGTATGACTGAAAAATCTAAGATTCAAAAAAGCGAAAAACTAAAACATCGAAAAATAAAAAAATCCAGGAATCGAAAATTACGCAAAATAGAAAATTATCGAAATTTGAAATGTGAAAAATTTTGGAATTGAAACAAAAATACATCAAAATCGAAAGATTGAAGATAGAAAAATTGACAAAATTTAAAATAAAAAAATTGGTTGTCAAAAAATCTAAAAATCGAGAAATTAAAAAATCAAAGCACCGAAATCTCAAGAAATCCAAAAATCAAAAATTGATTTATTGAAAAATCTAAAAACTGAAAAACCGGAAAGAAAAACAAATTTAAAACATCGAAAATAGAAAAATCGAAAAGTATACAATTTAAAAAATCGAAAAATTGTAGAATCGAATAATTGAAGAATCGAAAAATTGAAAAAACGAAAAACTAAAATACGGAAAAATTGAAAAAACCAGAAATCGAAAATTTCCAAAAATTGAAATGTGACAAATATAGAAATTGAAAACTTGAAAAATTAGGAAATCAAAAACCGAGAAATCGAAAGAAAAGTGAAAAATTGGAACAACATAGCATCAAAATCGAAAGATTAAAAATTGAAAAGTTTAAAATTCAAAAAATTGGTTGTCAAAAAAATTGAAAAATTGAAAAATTAAAAAATCGAGAAATTGAAAAATCGAAACATCAAAATCTATCGAGAAAATTTATCGAAATCCGAAAATCTAAAATTGAAATATTGAAAGACCGAAAAAGTTAAAAACTAAAATATTTGAAAAGGAGGAAAACTAAGAAGAAAGAAATACAAAAATTTTGAAAATCGAACAAAATCGGAGAATCGAAACATAAAAAAATGGACAAACCGAAAAATTGAAGAATCGAAAAGTCTACAATTTAAAAAATCGGAAAATGGTAGAATCAAAAAATCTAAAATGCAAGAAATCGAAAAATTAAAATATCCAGAAATTGAGAATTTCCCAAAATTGAAATTTGACAAATTTTGAAACTGAAAACCTGAAACAAAACACCAAAATCGAAAGATTAAAAGTTGAAAAATTGAAAATTTAAAATTCAGATATTCGAAAAATTAAAAATCGAGAAATCTAAAACTTCAAAAAAATAAAAAATCGAAAAATCGGAAGATCGAGAGATCGAAAAATCGAAAAACCGCAAAATCGGAAATTCAGAAAATCGAAAAATCTACGAAATAAAAAATTGGAAACTTAAAAAATCGAGAAATCAAAACGTCATAAAAAAATCAAAAAAATCGAAAAATGGAAAAAACGGAAAGAAGAAAATTTAAAACAATGAATAATTGGAAAATCGATAAAATGAAAAACCGAAAAATCAGAAAGTCGAAAAATCTGAACATCGAAAAATTGAAAAATTGAAACGAGAAATCGAAAAGCCAAAAAATCTAGAAATCGAAACAACCAAAAATCGAAAAATTCAAAAATTAAAAATTTAAGAATTAAAAAATCGAAAAATCAGGAAAGTGAACAATCGAAACATGGAAATCTCGATAAATCCAAGAATCGAAAAATTGAAAATTTAAAAAAACCAAAATTTTAAAAAGCGAAAAATTGACACATCGAATAAGCAAAATTCGAAAAGTCGAATACATATTCGGAAAATGAATCAATTGAGACACCCAAAAATCGAAAAATTGAGGATTTAAAAAATTGAAAATTTAAAATATCAAAAAATTGAAAAATTAAAATAACAAAAAATTGAAAAATTTAGAAATTGAAAAATTTCCAAAATTGTAATAGAAAAATTAGGAATTCGAAAAGCGAAAAATCTAAACATCAAAAATTTTGAAAAGAAAGAATAGAAATATTGACAAGTCGAGAAATCGAGAAATGGCAAAATCAAAAAATCGAAACATTGAAAAGCCGAAAAACCGAAACATTGAAAAGTCGAAAAATCGAAAAATCAAAATTTTTTATAGAATTTAGATTTTTTTCGCAAAAATGTCGTTGTCTAGGATAAAAATGAAACACAGATTCATAAAGCACAAGTTCAAGGCTATGACACCTTTTAACATATGTATAAATGAAACGTCGAAAACATATAAAAGTAGTCAGTCGCCCGATGGACTCAATTACAATACTGTCTTAGCTTACACTCGGGAAGTAAAAATTACTTTAGGCATAGGTATAAAATTTAGTTCTACTTATGCAGTCGATCTGTTGAGAGACCATCTAAGCAGGCAATTCCTGCTACATTAACAACAGTTTTTACATTTCCTGCAGCACTATTTTCACAACTATTTCTCCCAGGCGACAGACGTCGCCACTAACACTACCTTTCCTGCTAGCAACAACTTTCACATTACATTTTTCACACTAACTAATAGATGCCGCCACCACTTCATCCACTCACTTTCCGGAAAACCGAACTATATGTTCGAGTGATCCATATTTCTGCTACAAAAATGTTGCAACTGTTTACAAAAACTGGTCCGACAGCTGCTAAGCAGGAACTGCAAATTTTATATCTCTGTTGTCCAGTTTGGTGTTGAGTGAAATCGCTATTTTTGTGATTGATATTTGTAGGTCTCGTTAAGAGAGATCAGAGATCATGTGTTGTGCGATTTTGCTTTTGAAATCGACGATTTCAATGCAACGCTCATTATCGGGGGAAATGGAAACGGTTTCATGCTTTCAGGTTTCAGGAGGTTACGTGCTGTATGGATTTCACTGAAATAAATATCTGGATGCAGCAATAAATTTTAATCAATTTTATTATTCTTGTTAAACTGTTTAATTTTCGACGTAATGTGGCAATTTTTTCCAGCATTGTCCGACGTCGACGTTCAACAATACATTGCAGAAAAAATTGACCAAATTCTTAACCCATTTATTACGAAACGACTGTCACCATTCAAAGCCTCTCTGGTACCACAACCTTAAACCAAATTCCTCACCCAACTCTTACAAAACCCTAACCACCGTCATTCTTTTCTTTCGCAAATTCTTCACAATGCCGCCTGCAAGGCCGCCTTCCTCGACCCAAACAAAACCTCCAAACCCCAGCTAGGCACCAATCTCTCACCTCATTCCGCATTTCCTACAAGCATCTTCCTGCAAATTTAACACATTACATACCCGAATTGGCCATTACCTGAATACTTAAAATCCACTTTCGAGCACGCATTTTCGAATTTGCCCGCATTAATAACATTAGAAAGCGCCGAATTATGGTACCTTTTTCATAACTCGATTAATTTTGTCGTTAGATAATTCGCGAGATTATAAAATTTCTCCGGAAAATCTTACTTTTCCGACGATTTCTAGCGCGTTTGCATTGTTCTGGGCTCGAAAACAGGGGCGCTCTTACTCGAATTGGACCAGACTAATTGGTCCTTGCAGCGGCGCCATCTGGCAGGGTGCGACATTGACCTTGATCTGGCGGAAACCGGCGGCGGTATCTGCGAGGTGGGACGAGCTGAAGATGTTATAAATAAATGACGAGATTCACCATCGGCAGTTGTGAAAGTTCTTGCGTGAGTCGAGTCGAACTTGAACTTGAGTGCGATGTGGATACGGCAGGTGGGTGTGCGGATGAAAGAGAAACGAACGAAAACGAGAATAAAGATGCGGAGTGGCGGAACGCGAAAAGAGTATTATATTTTTATGATGGGGACCAATTTTGACACATTTTTTTGGATTTGTTTTGTCTAAAATGAAGAAAGAGATATTCTAGAAGTGGAGCACTATTTTGTTGAAATCAGATTCGAGGTTGGAAGGCATTTGGGTTTTTATAATTCGGAAATTTGAGTGTCAAAACAAGAACAAAAAAATTTTTCTCAAAAATGTGAGATATTTATTTCTAGTTAGATTCCATCCTTTATGGGATCATTGAAAATAATAATTTTTTTTTTTCATTCATCAACGATTTACTGATGAAGTCAATACCAAGATTTTTTTTGTTTATAGGATCATACAACGTAAAAGTATGGGTGTTACAGGGACGATAATTATTTATTTTGGTTATTTTGTCGAAATTTATTAGATCTTTTAATTTAAGAATTTTAAATTTTTTTTCTCAAAAACTTATCGTAGCTTACCTCATTCAAAAAAAAAAAAATTGAAATAATCTTGGAAGTTTATAGTGAAAATTTTATTGTAAAAGAACCTTTGGCACCCTTTTTTTTTTCTTTTTGGAAATATTTGAAAGAATCTTGGAGACTTCTAGTGTTCTAAATTATCAGGAATTTGACATCAATTTTCGGTCGACTGAACAAATTTTAACCACTTTTTTGGAAAATTTTTGACAATTTTGAATTCACTTTTCGTGCTTATTGGAACACATAACGTGACAGCGACTTCGAATTTGAAATTGGCGTAAGATTATCTACAATTTGACACCAATTTGCGGTCGATTGAAGAAATTTTGACAATTTTTTTGTAAAATTTTTGAAAATTTTGTATTCATTTTTCGTGATTATCGGAACAGATATCGTGCCGGCGATTTCTAATTTGAAATTAGCGGAAGATTATCTACAATTTGACACCAATTTGCGGTCGATTGAAGAGATTTTGACAATTTTTTTGGAAAATTTTTGAAAATTTTGAATTAACTTTTCGTGCCAATCGGAACAGATATCGTGACGACGTTTCCAAATTTGTAACTTTTGGAAGATTATCTACAATTTAACACTAATTCTCGGTCAATTGTGCCCATTTAACCCATTTTTTTGAAAATTTTTGAAAATTTTGGAACCATAAATTACCTTTATTTTAATAGATGTTGTGAAGGAGATTTCAGATTTGCAACTGGCGGAAGATTAATAGGAATTTGACATCAATTTTCGATCGATCGAACGAATTTTAACCAATTTTTTCGAAAATGTTTGAAAATTTTGAATTCAATTTTCGTGCTTATTGGAACAGATATCGGTGACGGCGATATCGAATTTGAAATTGGCGGAAGATTATCTACAATTTGACACAAATTTGCGGTCGATTGAAGAAATTTTGATAATTTTTTGGAAAATTTTTGAAAATTTTGAATTCACTTTTCGTGTTTATTGCAACAGATATCGTAACGACGTTTTCAGACTTGTAAGTGGTGGAAGATTATCTACAATTTGAGAACAATTCTCGATCGATTGAACGGACTTTAGCTATTTTTTTGGGAAATTTTTGAAAATTTTGGAACCACACACTATATCTTTAATTTGATAAATGTCGTGAAGGCGATTTCGGTTTTGTAAGCTACGGAAGATTATTTACAATCTGACACCAATTTGCGGTCGATTGAAAAAATTTTGATAATTTTTTTGGAAAATTTCTGAAAATTTTGAATTTACTTTTCGTATCTGTTGAGTGAGATATCGTAACGGCCTTTCCAGATTTGTAACTGATGGAAGATTGTCCAGAATTTGACACCAATTCTTGGTCAAATGAACCCATAGACATTTTTTTTGGAAAAATTTTGAAAATTTTGGAATCATGAATTACCTTTATTTTAATAGATATTGTGAAGGCGATTTCGGATTTGTTACCGGCGAAAGATTATTTAGAATTTGATACTAATTTTCCGTTGATTGAATAAATTTTAACCACTTTTTTGGAAAATTTTTAAAAATTTTGAATTCACTTTTCGTATCTATTAGAACAGATATCGTAACGGCGGTTCCAGATTTGTAAGTGGTGGAAGATTATCTACAATATTGACAACAATTCTCAGTCGATTGAACCCATTTAACCATTTTTTTGGAAAATTTTGGAACCATAAATTAGCTTTATTTTAACAGATGTGAAGACGATTTCGTATTTGTAACCGGCGGAAGATTATTTAGAATTTGATAACAATTTTCGGTCGACTGAACAAATTTTAACCACTTTTTTGGAAATTTTTTGAAAATTTTGAATTCACTTTTCATGCTTATTAAAACAGATCCTGACAGCGATTTCGAATTTGAAGTTGGCGGAAGATTATCTACAATTCGACACCAATTTTCGGACGATTGAACAAATTTTAACCATTTTTTCTTGCAAAATTTTTGAAAATTTTTAATTCTCTTTTCATATTTATTGGAAGAGATATTGTAACGCCCATTTCAGATTTTTAACTGGCGGAAGATTAACAACAATTTGACAACAATTTTGGGTCGATTGAGACAATTTTAACTATTTTTTTGGAAAATTTTTGAGAATTTTGGAACCATAAATTACCTTTATTTTAATGGATGTGATGAAGGCGATTTTGGATTTGTAACCAGTGGAAGGTTATTTAGAATTTGACACCAATTTACAGTCGATTGAACAAATTTTAACCATATTTTTGGAAAATTTTTGAAAATTTTGAATTCACTTTTCGTATTTATTGAAACAGACATTGTAATGGCGATTTCCGATGTGTAACTGGCGGAAGATTATCTACAATTTGACATCAATTTTAACCATTTTTTCGAAAATTTTTGGAAAATCGAAAAACTAAAAAATTTAACAATCGAAAAATTACAAATCGAAAAATTGAAAAATCGACAAAATCAAAAAAGTGAAAAATTAAATAATGGGAAAATTCTAAAATCGCAAAATTGAAAGAGTGATTTTTTTTTGAATCTATGATTTAAAGTGAAAACTAAAAAAAATGCGAGTTGATAATAATTAAAGAAATGAAAAACTGGAGAAATTGATAAATCTAAAATTGAAACAACGAAAAATTAAAGAATCTAAAAGTTGAAAAGCCGAAAAATTTCAAATCGAAAAATTTCAAATCGAAAAATTGCAAATGAAGAGTTGAAGAAACAAAAAATTGAAACATTACAAAACTAAAAATCGAGAAAATTAAAAATCGAAAAAAGTTATTGGATATCGACAAACTAAAAGATCGGAAAAACTGAAAAATTATAAAACTGAACGAAAGAAAAATAGCAAAATCGAAAAATAGCAAATGAAGAGTTGAAGAAGCAAAAAATTGAAACATGACAAAACTAAAAATCGAAAAAAGTTAATGGATCAAGAAATTGGAAAGAAGGAAAAATGAATCGAATCGAAAAATTAGAAAAGCCAAAAATTGTAAAATCGGCAAACAATGGAATCCTCAAAGTTGTAAATTCGAAAAACATTACATTATAACATAAAAAAAAATTGAAAAATTAAATGTAGAGAAATTGAAAAATTAACTTGAATAAATGAAAACGTTTTTTAAAATCCAATAATTAAAAAATGGGAAAATTCTAAAATCGCAAAATTAAAAAAGGGAAAATTTTTGAAATTATGATTTAAAGTGAAAACTAAAAAAAAATGCGAATCAATAATAATGAAAGAAATGAAAAATTGAAAATTCGAGAAACTGATAAATCTAAAATTTAAAAAACGAAAAATTAAAGAATTTAAAAGTTGAAAAGCCGAAAAATTGAAAAATCGACAAACCAAAAGATCGGAAAAACTGAAAAATTAAAACACTGAAGTAAAAAAGTAGCAAAATCGAAAAATTACAATTGAAGAGTTGAAGAAACCAAAAATTGAAACATTAAAAAACTAAAAATCGAGAAAATTAAAAATCGAAAAAAGTTAATGGATCAAAAAATTTGGAAAGAAAGAAAAATGCATCGAATCGAAAAATTGGAAAACCCAAAAATTGTCAAATCGGCAAATTATGGAATCGTCGAAGTTGTAAACTCGAAAAACATCAAAAAAATTCACAAATTAAATGTCGAGAAATTGAAAAATTAACTTGAATAAATGAAAGCGTTTTAAAATCCAATAATAACTAAAAAATGGGAAAATTCTAAAATCGCAAAATTGAAAAAGGGAAAATTTTTGAAAATATGATTTAAAGTGGAAACTAAAAATATGCGAATTAATAATTAAAGAAATGAAAAATTGAAAATTCCAGAAATTGATAAATCTAAAGTTGAAACAACAAACAATTAAAGAATCTAAAAGTTGAAAAGCCGAAAAATTGAAAATTTCACACTGAAATAAGAAAAATTAGAAATCAGAACATTGAAAAACTGAAAATTTGAAGAAACAAAGAAAATAAAATACTGAAAAAAAATTGAAAATCCAAAAATGTACAAATTGCAAATTGCGAATTTGAAGAAATGAGAAATACAGAATTGAAAAATTGAAAAATTAAAAACTCGAGAAATTTTAAGCAGAAAAATTAAAAAATGTAAACTTGAAAATTAAAAAAATTGCAAATCAAGAAACTGGAGAAACAAAAAAATAAAAAATTGAACAATTGAAAAATTCAAGTCAAAAAAAGCTGCAGGAGTGTTATTTACATCACTAGTTTTAGCTTTATAGAAGGTTATAAAAAACCAAATCTCATTTTGAAATAATGTCAAAAAAAAATAAAAAATATGAGAGGTCCCTTGCATTTTGTTTTCAAAAGTATTTAGAAGAATCTTAGGGATTCCCAGTGTCTCTTTTTAATATTGTGAAGTAATCCTGGAAGTCCATTCTGTAATTCTTATTGTAGAAGAATCTTTAGGACCTCCTGTGTCTCTTTGTTTTTGGAAAAATGTGAAAGAAGCTTAGGGTTCCCTTGTGTTTTTTTTTTTACTAAATTAAACAATTTCCGGACTTCCAATCTTTTGCTTTTGCGAGATTTCGAAACAATCTTAGAGCACTCTTGGGTCTTTTTTAAATTTTGAAATAATCTAGAAAGTCCCTAGAGTCAATTTTATGATGTAAAAGAATCTTCGGGATCTTTTGTGTTTCTCATTTTGAAAGAATGTGAAAAGAATCTTAAGAGTCCCTTGTATTTTATTTTTGCAAAAACTTGAAAGAATCCGAAAGCCTTCTAATGTTTTTTTTAAATTCTGAAATAATCTTAGAAGTCCATTATGTAATTTTTATTGCAAAAGTATCTTTGTTAGCCCCAGTGTTTTTTTTTTGTTTTTGGAAGAATGTGAAAAGAATCTTAAGGGCCTTCTGGTGCCTTTTTTTATTTTGAAATAATCTTTGAAGTTCCTAGAATCATTTTTATAATGTAAAAGAATCTTTGTGATTTTTGTGGCTCTCGTTTTGAATGAATGTGGAAGGAATCTAAGGAGTCCTTGTATTTTGTTTTCGAAAGTAGGTATTTGGAAAAATCTGGGACCTCTGGTGTGTTTCTTCAAGATTTTGAAAGAATCTTGTTATTGTAAAAGAGCCTTTTGAACCCCTTGTTTTCTTTTATTTTTTGAAGAATTGGAAAAGAATCTAAAGTCTCTTGTGTTTTGCATCAGAAAATCTTTGAAAGAATCATGAGAAATCTTAGCACATTTTTTTAAATGTAAATAAAAAGGCTAAGAGTGTTTTGTTTTTTAAAGATTTTGAAAGAATCTTAGGACCTCCTCTTGTCTTTTTTTTGGTAAATAATGTCAGAACTCCCTAGTGTCATTTTTTATTGTGGAAGAATTTAAAGAATCCCTCGTGTTTTGTGTGCGAAAATATTTAATTTTTTTAATGTTGATAAATAAAAGGCGATTTTTTTTTCATCTGAAAGAAAGAGATATCGTGGTGGATTTTTCACAACTCTGTTTTTCCTGATGACTTTTATCAAGAAAAAATTACTAAACTAAAATAAAATTCCCGTTCCTCGTCTGATCTAGCGTTGAAGTCACCGTCTTACTGCCTCACTTTTTGCGAATCACCGGCACCTGACACGCTATCTGACAACAACTGTGTCAACCACACTAATGATTCACATTTACATGCCACAAAGTGACAATTATTCTGACGTTTCCTGCTATTAACATTTCCGATAGAATCACGTCTGAAAAATCTGCATAAACGATCTTTCAGCACTTTTTTCTCGTTTCGATGTCAATCACGATCAGTGGCAGCGGCTGAAAAGAGAAACTCGTGCGATATTGGCGAAGCAATTTAATTAAACGGTGCTTAAGGCTTGAATGGAGGTCGTTTAACGCTTGTCGTGTTTAAGTGTTCGCTAAAAATCGCCAGAACGTTTAATTTACAAGACAATTTTTACGCTTTGTGAAAGAGAGGTAGTGGAAAGGATCACGATAAGTCCGGCACGTGCCTCGAAATTGCCGAAACAATGAGAGTCGTGGTGTTTCAAGTCGAGGGCAATTAGTTTTCTTCTTATGCACATATTCATCTTCCACGCATTAGAGTAGAATTTTTACGTGAAACAAACCCGATTGTCCGCCAGATTTCTCTAATTTAGTTTCAGAAATCACAATACGGTCATTCCGTCGTTCTGCATTGGCACGAACAAAGCAAACATTGCCGATTGTATTTAAATCCAAAATTTCACCCAGACACACTCGAAAGCTCGCTCTCTCATTATCTGGCCAGAGATCGCACGTTTAATCTGAAGATAATCACACTTATTTTACATATTTTCACAACAGTTGGTATTTTTTCCAGAAAATACCCCTTCTCGTCCTCTTCCTTGCCACCGCTTATGGTCGCCCCCAACACAGCTACGCTCCAGCCCACGAATATGGAAGTGTAAATATTCCCAATATAAAAAAAATAATAATTTCTCAAAAAAAAACAAAAATTTTAGAAATCTCCCGGCTACAGCTTCAGCTACGGAGTCAAGGACCTACACACCGGTGACGTCAAACATCAATGGGAAAAAAAAGATGGCGACACCGTCCGAGGCCACTACTCGGTACTAGAGCCCGATGGTTCCGTCCGAACCGTAGACTACACAGTCGACGGCAAAAACGGCTTCAACGCCGTCGTCAACCGAGTACCATCTCACAAATCCCCAGTACCACCGGCACCACAACCCATCGACACCCACTACACCACCTTGCAAGAACCCGTCAAAACCGAGTACCAGTACGACGGCAGTACCAACGACATTAAGCACTACTACTTCGTACCAGAAGACGAAGACAGCAAGGAAACCGTCAAGACGAAAATACAAATTCCGCCACCGCAGTACTACAAGAAGTACCACCACCAGCCTGTTAAAAGTACCGCGAAGCTCCCAGTCGATTTGCACCTAGTTAAACAAACCACAGAGAAGATTATCCCCCTGGATATTAGCCAGTTGCATCCAGTTGAGATCGATTTGAGTCAGCACACTACTCATGAGTTGAGTACTGACGAGTTGAGGAAGTTCTTGAGCGAGTACTACAGGGTGGGGTTCGATGGGTTGAATCAGCCGCAGCTGGAGACGGGGTTTAAGCCTATTAAGAATGGGGTTACTGTTGCGCAGACCTTCAAGAGTGCGAAGAAGCCTGCTACGACGCCGGGGTTGAGGAATTATTCGTCGAAGGGGAAGCATAGGTTTAGAGGGGGGGAGGGGAGGCGGCAGAGGGGGGCTGGGGTGAGGCAAAGACAGAATTAAGGGGTTGTTTTATTTATTGTTTTTAGATTTAGTTTGTGTTGTTGTATTTCTTAAATAAATATTTAAATGTGATTAACTGATTAAGGTACTCTAGGATAGTGTAATTGTAAAAATTGATATTGTAACAAATTATATTTCTTTAAGTTAATTTTTTAAATATAAAAATATTTCATTGTTTTAAAAAAAGAAAGACTTGGAAGAAACGCTGGCCCAGTTTTTTTTTAATAAATGCAGTTCTGACCAATAAAAATATAAAAATTCTGAGAGAATAAAATAAAATAATCAGAATACAGAATTAATGATAAAAAAAAAACAATAACAGAACCAAAAAAAGTGAGCTCTTCTATTAGTTTTAACAATGTCGTTTTATTTTTGTTGTGATGTTCTTTACTAAAGGTAATTAATTAATTTTTAATGGAAAGCAAAATTGCGTAAACACATTTAAAAATTAAAATAGTGGAACTGATAAACAAAAATTAAATTTTTTTAACCAAAATACCATAAATTTTTAATAACATTAGAAGTGAAGGTAAAGATAGAAGAAATGCATGTAGAAAAAAAATATGAAAAAAGACAACCAATAATACAAAAAATAGCTACCAGAAAGTAAATGTAAAAAAAGCAATGAAAATTCATGACTTTTATATAAATATAACAGACCAGTAAACAAGAGAAACTATAATAATTGAAAAACTGGAAATAAGAAACGAGAAATGAGAAACGAAGAATGAAAAATGATAAACGAGAAATTAGGAATGAAAAACAAAAGGCAAAAAATGGGAAACGAGAATTGAGAAATTAGAAATGAGATAAGAGATAAACAAAAGAAGAGGAATAGAAAATTAGAAGCGAGGAGCGACAAAGAAGAAATAACACACGTATGAGAATCCAGAAATAGGAAACGAAAAAGAAAGCGACAAACGAAAAATCAAAAATAAAAAGCGAGAAACGACGAAACTAGAAATGAGAAACGAGAAATGTGAAACCAGAAACTGGAGACTAGAAACTAGAAATTGAAAACCAGAAACCAGTATGTAAACCATACCAGACTCGGAATTACCGTGCTCTTTTGCTTTATTCTTACCCTGCTCCTGAAGATGCTACTTACGAAAGTGTGCGAAACGTTGAGCCCAAAAACTCAATTAACAGGGTTCCAATCCGGAAAACGATCGTGTATTGAAACCAGAAACTTGAAACTAGAAACTAAGAACTGGGAACGAGAAAGAAAAAACGAAAAAAAAAACGGAAAACTAAAATCAAGGAATTAGAAACTAGGAAATAGAAACTAGAAACAAAAAACTAGGAACTAGAAATTAGAGATACTAGAAACTCGAAACTCGAAACTAGAATCTAGAAACTAGAAACTAGAAACTTGAAACTGGAAAACTGGGAACTAGATTCTAGAAACTAGAAACGAGAAACGAGAAACGAGAAACTAGAATCTATAAAGTAGAAAGCAATAAGCAGAAAGCAGAAAGCAGAAACTAGAAACTTGAACATGGTAACTAAAAACTAGAAACAACAAACTAGAAACAAGAAACCAGAAATTAGAAACGAGAAACAAGAAGTTAAAAATAAGGAACTAGAAACGAGAAACTGGAAACCAGAAGCTAGAAACAAGAAATAAGAAACGAGAAACTAAAAACAAAAAACTAGAAACAAGAAACTAAAATCGAGAAACGGAAAACGAGAAACTAGAAACGTGAAACTAAAAACAAGCAACTAGAAACTAGGAACCAAAATCGACGAACTAGGAAATAGACTCGAGAAACCAGAAACAAAGAGAGGTCAAACTAGAAACGAGAAACTAGAAACTAGGAATTAGAAACTAGAAACTAGAAATTAGAAACTAGAGAAACTAAAAACTAGAAATTAGAAACTACAAACTGGAAATTGGAAAACTGGAAACTAGAATCTGGAAATTAACTAGAAACAAAAAACTAAATTCTAGAAACTAGGAACTATAAAGCAGAAAGCAGAAAGCAAAGAACAGAAAGCAGGAAGCAGAATACAGAAGGCAGAAATTAGAAACTCCAAACTGAAAAGAAGATGCTATAAATTAGAAACGATCAACTAGAAACAAGAAACAGAAAGCAGAAACTAGAAATCAGAAGTCAAAAAACAGAAACTAGAAACGAAAAAGCAGGAACTAGAATTGAAAAACGATAAATTAGAAACGAGAAACTAGAAACGAAAAACTAGAAAGCAGAAACTAGAAACGAGAAATTAAATGCGAGCAACCATTAACCAAAAATGAGGAACTAGGAATTAGACACGAGAAACCGGAAACAAAGAACTAGAAACGAGAAACGAGAAACTAGGAAGTAGACACGAGAAGGAGGAACAAGAGACGAGAAACTAGAAACTTGAAATTGGAAAACTAGAAACTAGAATCGAGGAACTAAAATCTAGAAACTAGAAACTATAAAGCAGAAGGCAGAAACTAGAAATTTGAAACTGGAAAGGAGACACTAGAAACAAGATACTAGAAATTAGTAACTAGAAACTAGAAAGGAGCAATTAGTAAGCAAAAAGCAGAAACTATAAACCAAAAGTCAGAAGTTAGAAACCAGAAATGAGAAACCAGGAACTAGAAAGAAGAAACGAGAAATTAGAAATGGGAAACTAGAAATAAAAAATCAGAAACCGGAAATCAAAAATCAGAAACCAGAAACAATAAACTTGAAACTAGGAATTAGAAACCAGGAACTAGTAACTAGAAGCTAGAAACCGGAAAGTGGAAACTGAAAATTGGAAACTGGAAACTGGGAACTGGGAACTGGAAACTGAAAACCTGAAACTAGAAACCAGAAACGAGAAACTCACAACTAGCAATTAGTAACTAAAAACTAGAAACCAGAAAGACGAAACCAGAAATCAGAAGCCAGAAATCAAAAACCAGAATGTTAAAACTAAAAACTAGAAACTGGAAACTAAAAACTAGAAACTAAAACGAGAAACTGAAACCTAAAACAAACAATTAGAAAGCAGAAAGCAGAAAGCTGAAACGAAAAATCAGAAACGCGAAACCAGGAACTAGAAACGAGAAACGAGAAAGTAGAAACAAGAAATGAGAAACTAGAAATGAAAAACTAAGAACTAGGAACTGGAAATTAGAAACTAGAAAATAGAAACTAGTAAAACTGGAAACTGGAAACTAGAAACTAGAAATTACAAATTGGAAATTGGAAATTGGAAAACTGGAAAGTAGAAATTAGAAACGAGAAACTAGAATCTAGAAACTAGAAACTATAAAGTGGAAGACAGAAACTAGATATTTGAAACTGGAAAGGAGACACTAGAAACAAGATACTAGAAATTAGTAACTAGAAACTAGAAAGGAGCAACTAGTAAGCAAAAAGCAGAAAGCAGAAACTATAAACCAGAAGTCAGAAGTCAGAAACTAGAAATGAGAAACCAAGAACTAGAAATAAGAAACGATAAATTAGAAATGAGAAACTAGAAATAAAAAACAGAAGCCGGAAATCAAAAATCAGAAACCAGAAACAATAAACTTGAAAGAAGGAATCAGAAACCAGGAATTAGCAACTAGAAGCTAGAAACTGGAAAGTAGAAACTGAAAATTGGAAACTGGAAACTGGGAACTGGAAACTGGAAACCTGAAACTAGAAATCAGAAACCAGAAACGAGAAACCAGAAACCCACAACTAGTAACTAGTAACTAAAAACTAGAAACCAGAAATCAGAAGCCAGAAATCAAAAACCAGAAAGTTAAAACTGGAAACTAGAAACTGGAAACTAGAAACTAGAAACTAAAAGGAAAAACTGAAACCTAGAAGGGAGCAATTAGAAAGCAGGAAGCAGAAAGCTTAAACGAAAAATCAGAAACGCGAAACTAGGAACTAGAAACGAGAAACGAGAAAGTAGAAAAAGAAATGAGAAACTAGAAATGAGAAACTAAGCACTAGGAACTGGAAATTAGAAACTAGAAAATAGAAACTAGTAAAATTGGAAACTGGAAACTAGAATGTAGAAACTAGAAACGAGAAACAAGAAACTAGAAACGAGAAACGAGGAACTAGAAACGAGAAACGGGAAAGCAGAAACCAGAAACCCATGAATAGAAACAGGAAATCAGAAACCAGAAATCAAAAACCAGAAACCCGAAACAATAACCTTGAAGCTAGAAATTGGAAAATGAAAACTGAAAATTGGAAATTGAAGATTAGAAATTGGAAACTGGTAACTAGGTAGTGGAAAATAAAAAAAAAAACTACGACTAGAACCTAGAAACTATAAACTAGAAACTAAAAAGAGAAACTGGAAACTAAAACGAGAAACTGGAAACTAAAATGAGAAACTAGAACCTAGAAACGAGCAATTAGAAAGCAGAAAGCAGAAAGCTGAAACGAAAAATCAGAAACGTGAAACCAGAAAGGCGAAACCAGGAACTACAAACGAGAAACTATAAACGAGAAAGTAGAGATAAGAAACTAGAAATGAGAAACTAAAAACTGGAAATGAGAAATAAAAACTTAAAAAAAAACAACGGTCGACACAAAAATAAGAAACAAGAAACGAAAAGAGCAAATGAGAAACGAGGAATTAAAATTGAGACATGAGAAATGAGAAATTAGAATTGAGAAACGAGAAACTAGAAATGATAACAAAACAGGAGGAATGGGAAACTATAAATGAGAAACTATAAATCAAAACCGGAAAATGGGGATTGAAAAATTATAAATGACAAATGAGAAACCAGAAATTAGAAATGAAAAACGAGGAATTAGAAACTAGAGAGAAATGAGAGATGGGAAACCAGAAAGAAGAACGAAGGAATGGGCAACTGAGGAAACGAGAAACAAAAACGGGAAATAAAAAAAAACGAAAAATAAAACTTGAGACAGTTAAAATGAAGAAAGCATTTCTGCCACTCCTATCAGTAGGTTGTCTATAGAAATGGTTTTGTAACAATAATAATAAAAAAAAACAAGAAATTAAAAATAGTAAACAAGTTTTAAAAACAACAGTGAACTCATTTGACAAAAAAAAAACGTCTAGAAGAAATTGCTCGATCGCATAAAATAAAACCTGAAAAAAGATACAATAAAACCACCGCTGGACATTAA